TTAATCTCCAACCCCTCTCTCCTCCCAGGAGGTCCAGGGGTGGGGCTGAAAAAGCTGATGCTCTAATCACATGGTTGGTCCCCCTGGTAACCAGCCTCCATCCTGAAGCCATCTAGGGGTCACCCATGAGACACCTCATTAGGGTAAACTCTGGTGTGGTGGAAGGGACTTGAAATCAATAACAAAAGATGCTCCTATCACCCCTATCACTCAAGATATTAGAAAGGATTTAGGAACTCTGTTTCTGAAACGGGGGACAAAGACCAAATATGTATTTCTTATTGAATTACAAAAGTATTTGAAGAATCCACACAGCTCCTCCTACTCGTGACATTCCATGACGGTGTGATTCTCACAGCAGAACCAGAACCAAATCCGAGATTTTCTGGCTCTCAATCCTTCCTCTACTAAGCCACACATTGAAGACCAAATTCTACTGTGAGAGAAGCTTCCTTTTAAGGGTGACAGCTTGGAATGAAATTTAAACTACAGCTACCCCTCAGTTATTCAGGGCCCAACTACGTCCTTTGTAAATCCCATTGGCCTTCTGCTTTTTATTCCACATCTTGGTTATTGGTAATTACCACGGGTACACAAAGGAGGCCAAGACTAATTCAGTTCACTTGGCCAAATGTTAGTAACACTGGAATTGAGTAGAGAGGTAAAGAAGTTTGGAACTAGTTTCTAACACTGAATTTTAAAAAAAACTTTTTTTATCACATCAGATTGTCACATAGCCTGAAGTATGGAATTGAGTAGAGAGGTAAAGAAGTTTGGAACTAGTTTCTAACACTGAATTTTAAAAAAACTTTTTTATCACATCAGATTGTCACATAGCCTGAAGTGAAACTCACCGTTTTAGAGTTCTTTGCATCACGCATGAGCCGTTCTGCTGATTTCAAATCTTCCTGGATAGCATCTCCCCCACAATTTCGTAAGGAGTTAAGATGATCTTGGACTTTCACACATATTCTGTCAATCATCTGCTCCAAACCAGAACCATGACAGCAAGTATCCGAGTCAGCACAGCATATATTCAGAAAGAAGAAAACAGAGTGAAGGAGGATTAAAACCAGGACACACAGAATGCATGAGGATGAAAACTTCTAACTGGAATCTCTGAGGATGCAGCTTATGGCCAACTATTAATGTAGTTTAACTACTCACGTAAGAAACCTCTGGCAATATTAACTCCAAAAAAACATGTAAGGCATTTCGGTCCCCTTTCCTGCCTTAGAATTGCAGCATGCAGAACAAAAGTGAACACCTCTTGATGATTCAGAATCTTGTAGCTTACTCAGTGACATTTTGCTAAATAGTAACACTCCATTAACTTTTACTGAGTGCCCTCTATAATGACATCGTGTTAGGTACTGAGGAAACAAAGAAACGATGTGCAACACTGAGGCTGTTGAGAGGACTACAAAATGATGTCCGTGGCCAGTTGGTCTGAAAATCAGAACATCCCCTGGAAATTGACTTTTTTTTTTCAGTATTTTTCTAAATATATTTAAGAGCCACCAAAAAATTTTAAAAGCTGAGATTTTATTGTATTAACATAGGTGATACTGAAGTTAAAAACATCTAATTTCTATTTCAATAAGGTCCTTCTCCCAGGTTGTATGCACCTGAATAATTTTCAGCTGTTCCATGATTTTAAATATACAACCCAAAGGGAAGTGATGATCACTGTGGTGGATAAAAAATATTACAGAAGGGTAAGATTATGCTCTGCTGTATTTGTGTTTATACAGAGAAGCCTGAAGAAAGCTAAAAAGTCTGAAGAGAAAGATAACCAAAGCGGTTTAAAAAGTTTCTTCAATATTTTTATCAGAGCTGCAGGTTGTCATGATTCTTAATTATTGATTCTGCAGAGACCTTACATGTCAAAGGTCCCACCTCACCCAATAATTCATTTGGCAGAGGAGACAATCTAACGATACTCCTTTTTAGTTAAATTCACACTTCTCTATCTTTTTTGAATTGTTTGGTATCACAACTACAGACATGCACTGTTTCCTGAGAGGGATACGTTCTGAGAAATGCATCTTTAGGCTATTTCGTCATTGTGCAAACATAACAGTGCACTTACACAAACCTGATGGCATAGTCTACTACACACGTAGGCTATATGGAACAGCCATTATAATGTTATGGGACCACTGCCATACATGCAGTCTGTCATTGACCAAAATGTTATGTGGTGCATGACTATATAGAAAGCCAAATTTCCTCCATAAATTCCAAAATAATAGATACTTTAATATACCACTCAGAAGACTTAAGGTCTGACTGCAGAGTCTGTGTCAACTTGCTGCAGTACTGTCATCTCTCTTTTGTAAAATCAGGTTAGTGTCTAACCCATTTTCTTTTCTAGTATATTATGAAGACAATCCAGTAGAGTAGCACCACTTGAAGCACCTATTCTGTTGATAAAGGGTCAGTAATGCCAATGTTGATGTATACTGAGCAGCTGCTATAGCTGTAAAATGTATTGAGGCTACGTAACTGAACTGTCTTGAGCTCTACATAGGAAAAAGAAGTTATATGAATAATGCTTCTCATATCATGTTCTCTATCTCACTAAAGTCTATGCTAGTAAGCAAGAATCATATCTTAACTTTCTGTGTTTACACAACACCCTGCATAGAGCTAACTATGTTTTTAAAAAATCTTCTTAATTGAAATAAATTTCAAGTCTTCTAACTATTGCATTGATCTGTGCTTCCTGAAGCAAAAACGAGTCATCAATAATTCATATCTTACCATGAATGAATATCTAATTTCAAGACACAAATAAACCACATACTAAGAAAGGAACTAATATACATCTGGGGACACAAAAAGCTAATTTGAGAGGCATGTGGAT